GCGTAGATTGCCAGAATTAATTACTCGAGTTATTACTTGTTTAACTTAATTGTTTTGGTATAAGTGGCCTCAAATGGGTTGATTAATTATTGTTATGTTGGAATTATTTTGAATAGGCCACTAAATTTTGAGGGAGAAAAATTAGGTGGTGGAATCAGAAGAAGGTAAGTAGAATCTTACACACTTTGCTTGTTTTCAAATCTCTATATATATATATATATATATGTTTATAAATGAATGAATATTTTATTTTTTTTATTTTCGATATATGAAAATAGGATCAAGCATATGATTATTTTGTGTTTCTTTATATAAATGATGGATCATACTTATGAGAAAATGATTTATGTTTAAAGAATGATTTTATGATGGCTACTTTTTTACATCCCTAGGAAGTGGGATCATCGACACCAGAACTAGTTCTACGACCCTGGCTAACGGGTAATAGTAGTTAGCAAAGACATAATCATACGACCTTGGCTAATGGGTAATAGTAGTTAGCGTAAGCCCTGGTTAACGGGTTATAATAGTTAGCAATGATCATGAGAATGAAATTATCGATACGGCCAATATCACGGGTTATAGCAGTGATCGTAGCTAACGATTTGAATGATAACGATTTGATTGATAATGATGATTTATGATAATGATAAGTTACGATGATTTTTAATGATTGATCCATGATTTGGTTTGATTACGATATTTGAATGATAACATATTTTACAATGATTTATGAATTTATGAAATATTTGACAGAACGATGATATTGAGATGTTTTGACATTTTGATTTGACGAATGTTTTGAATGATCTATATGATGTGTAACAAAACGATGTTTGATCCGATAAGGTACTGAGCTGTGGTTTGCTCATTCCCTATTTTCTTTTCTTTTACAGATGTTATAAATGATAAGTATGATTAGCTTGAGAAAAGCTAGAAGAATCGAGCATTGGAGAACTACTTAGAAATATAGGATCCTATGAAGTATTGTTTATTTTAGTTGTAATACTCTACTTTAAACCTTTGGAGACTTGTTATCTAGCTATGTACTTAATGAGAACATTTTATATTTGAGAGTTGATCAATGGTTGTGAATTAGGCTTCGTATTACTTTGGGGTTTTACTTCAAGGTAATATGACCGTGTTATGCCTCGATTCGGGGTATGACAAAGATATTGAAGATTTATTAGATATGAGATAATTTACTTTAACAAGTCCCCATCACATGTAAGTGAAAATAGAAAAAGCTTTCCACGTGAAAAATTAGGAAAGGGCAACGAAAAGAAAGTTCTGGTTCTCATACCATGTTAAGCATCAAACTTAAAACTAATTGACAGCATGTGGAGGGGCCTGATTTAAATATAAGACTATAGTATATTGAAAATTTATTAGATGTGGGATAACCCACTTTAACATAAGATTTGCTTATCTTGCTCATTTATATGTACTTCTCTTTCATTACACCTTAATCTTTTGGAATTCATTAGTTTGAAACTACTGACCAACGGCTTAACACTGTCTCTCACCCAGAGATAAAAAGCAACAAGAACTTAGGACACTGATAGTTGCCTCTTGCGCCGCTCTCAAGATGCTGAAGGTGGCTCCGGTCTCACTACCTCTGCTGGAGAAAGAAGTATCATATTCATTTTTCACATGCTTCAAATATTCTAAAGCCTTGCTGGTTGCCCTTTTCACTCTTTCCTAGAGTTCAAGTATATTTTAGCCTCGACTGCAAGCCCTGTTTCAGCTTCTCGTCTTCTACGCAAAATTGATTGAATTTCTTGTGTGTATTCCTTTGTTTGTGATAGGGCATCCATGGAAGTGCTGCACATGCCCAAAAGCTTCAGAGATTCATCCAACAGTTCATCAACATATTTGCTTTGTTGTTCCTTGGCTAAAACTTTGTTGATTGAGGGCCAAATGAAGCAACTTATCAATACAATCATGCAGCTTCATAAGTTGTCAACTTGCTCAAATACAATCAATATATGAAGTTAGTGGGCTTCATCTAGAGGGCAAGTTGTTAGAAGGATTTGTAGCCATTATTTCTTCAATGGAGAAAACTTAGCTGCTGTGTTCTCAATTAAATCTAGCAATTTGCCCATCCCTTCATCTACTTAATATATATTATTGGATGAGTGAGACCTGAAGAATCTCCTCCTTTCAAATGACAATTAGAGGTAACATGGACTTGATATCAATCTGAATATTATATTAGTGATGTTCATGCATTGTCTCCTTTCCACGAGCTTTACAACTCATTACATAGTTGTTTTAATCCGTCCAATCCAAATGTAACTTGGGCTAAGAAATACTTAATAATATGCAATGCATGAGTGGTTTTAATATCATTTAAGTGACAGTGACCATTTTTTCTTCTGCATTTAGCGTGTCAACTAATTTATAGTTCTGCTAATTGTCGTTTTATGTTTAACCTTTTTAAACATGGGGTCTTCATCACTTTGTGTGCCCCCATATATAAAATTAATATATGTCATCATGGTTGGTTGATGTTGTCAACATTTTCATTAGCATGAGCATGTCTATGCAGTTAATTTGATTAAGTTTATTAGCTTTGGATAGATAATTGTGTAAGTCCCAATTTTTTTCTCATTTGTTAAATCGGCTTGATTTATTTTGACAGGTTATTCTCATTGTTACTTGTCTATCATTTCAGTTGATTGAAGCTAATTTTTTGTGCAACCATAAACCATGAGGTAAAGATGAACACTGCATTTGAAGTGCTCTTGATGGCCACATGCTTATGATTCCTGCATGCAATAACCACTGTTATTGATGCTAATTAAAGAGTTTTGTGATTGATCAATCAAATGCAAATGGAACAGATAAGATAAGACACTGTAGTGCAAGAGCCAGGTAAGATCCATATACTTGGTTTTGCAATCTTTGCATTATATTATAAAACACCATGATGGTAACAATTGATTATGCTGGGCGTAGGATGTCATGAATATTTTGATTTCCTAGAACAAGTGAGATATCAGTTTACCATGTGCAAATCTTGATCAATATTGGAAGCATTTAATTGTTTTCCTGAGACAACTGGAATTTGACAGCTTTTTTTTTTTTTTTCTAATGCAGAAGGCATATTAGACTCCTTCGCAGTTAAATCATATTGACAATACAAATTCTGTGTTATCCTGTCAGCTAATTTTATGATCTTAACTCACTGAGTCGCAAGATTCGTTCCGATGCATTTGAAATATATGGTTAATAGGCGAGATTCATTAACTGAAAAAGGAATAAGAAGAGAAGGACTATGTAAAAGAAGCAAAATTTTCTGAAGTATATTTTACTTTGACATAATAATATTATGTTTGTGTTTGCTTAATTTACAAGATGAATTCACATGATATTTGAGGCTAGCTAATGGTTGAGAATGTTTAGAATATTGAGTCTGACTTTTATCAAGCGCCTAAACAGACCCTCAAGCTCTTCTTCAAAGTCTTGAAGGCAAGGCTTTGTTTTTTTAGTTCATTTTGAACATTCTCAATTTGCATGATGTCAGATTTGCTTGTCGCAAGGAATAGCAATGTAGCTTCAACATTTTCCATTTCATTGATCTGCTGTTCTCTTTCACTTTTTGCTCTTTTTGTGTGCAATAGCTTTGAAACTAGTGACCAATGGCTCATCTTTGATCTTCTATGGTAAAAAAGACAACAAGGATTCAGCACACTGAAAGTGACTACTAGCATTCCCTTAAGAGGCTAACCATGACTCCAATCTCACTGAAAAACTGTGCTTTGTTTATTTTCCTTATGCTTCAAATTCTTTATGATCTTCAAAAATGCCCTTTTAGCTGCCTTCTTAGAGGTCAAGTATTTCTAACCTCATTAACAAGCCCTTGTGTATCACCTCGCTTTCAGCACAAGATTGACTGAAGTTCTAGTGTGCATTTCTTTACTTGCAATAGAGCATCTTTGGCAGTGGTGCACACATCTAAAAGTCTAAGAGATCCATTCACAAGCTCATTGACATATTCCCTCTGCTGCTCTTGGGCTAAGATTTGTTGAGTGAGGGTAGTTGAAGCAGCTTATCAATGCAATCATGTAAATCTTGAAGGTAACAGGTTTGGATGTTTGAAGGAGTGATGGCCATTATTTCTTCTGGAGATAGAAATTAGCACTTGTGTTCTCAAGTCAATCTGGCTATTTGCCTACTTCCATTCATCTACCCGATCTATATTTTCATGTGATGGGCATGACATGAAGAGTCTTATCCTTTCAAATTGCACTTAAAGGTAACATGGACTTGACATAATTGTTTGAATCAGTAAACTCCTAATATATCTTGATTCTTGAGATAAGACTATAATATTTAATAGGCAATGCACTAGCAGTTTTAAAATTTTGTCCGGAGACAATGGCTATTTTTTCTATTGCATTCTGTGCACTTCTACCTGTCTTAGTTAATTTATTTTCATGCAGGAGGCAAGCAAGATCTGCAGAGAAGTTCAACTGCTACACATCTTATTATACCACGGAATAGAAAAATGCTTGGAGTTTAATGGTTGATGTTGCGGGATTATTAAGCTGTTCAGCCATGACATTTAAGTTTCAGCCTGTTATCTTACTTAAATTGGTGCATGCATTCATCCATGTGAAAGACATTAACTTTTGCAGAGTGATAATTTATTATTCTGTTTAATTTTGAGACAATAGGAATCCTAACAGCTTCAAAATTCAGTAATTGCTTCTTTTTTTTTTTTTTTCTTGTTTTCAGAACTCTAGGAGGTAACTCATTGTAGGAAGAAGAAAGTAAAAGCAAAAACCAAAGATTAAATTTTTGGTCAACCTATTGAATTTGTTTAATTCATCACTGAGTTAACTCTAGCTCTCTTAAATTTCCTTCAAACCTTTTAGCATTTTGACCACGGAGCACTTAGTTTGCGACATATTGATGTAGACGAAGAAGCAGGCATCCTTAATGCTTAACCTGTGCATGAACACTCTTCTACTTGGGAACGAAGTGGATGAGGTCTACAAGGTAAGCTGCTGATATATATATATATATATCATGGAAATTTGTCTGCTTATCTGATGAGTTATGTTCAACAATTCGTCCTGATGCCTAAGTTTCCCTGCAAAGAATAAACATTAAATTTATAATAAAGAAAAATGTAGATTTGTCCATCACTGAGTTAACTCAGCTCTTTTAAATTTTCCTCAAACCTTCTAGCATTTTGACTGCGGAGCACTTAGTTTGTGGCATATTGATGAAGACGAAGAGGGAGAATGAAGTAGATGAAGTTAATCTGTCTTTTATATGTATACACACACACACACATACACACGAAATGGATGAGGTTAATCTCATCTAGTTATATCGGATAGATTAATCTCATCTAGTTATATTAGACAGATTAATCTCATCTACTTCGTTCTCGAGTAGAGGAGCTTTCATGCACAGATATAGAATGGAAATTTGTTATTTATTAAAGTTTATGAGATTATTTATGTCATTTACTTTTAATATATTTAGAGTTTATACTTTTATATATAAATGATATATCACACACACACACACACACACACACACACACACACACACACATATATATATATATATATATATATATATATCATGGAAATTTTGTCAGCTTATTTGATGAGTTATGTTCAACAATTAGTCCTGATGCCTAAGTTTCCCTGCAAAGAATCAAAACTAAATGTATAATAAAGAAAAATATAGATTTGTTCATGAAACTTGTATTCATTTACGATCAGATCAAGTATAAATGTATTTTTTAGCCAGTTACAAGGATGTACAACAAAATTGTAGAAAGTTTTCCAGATGCCATCAGTTACAATTTTCTGCGGCTAATGGCTGAGGATGTTGAGAACAGAAACTCTAGTTTTTATCAAGAGCCTAAGCACGCACTCCACTCCATCTTCAAGATCTTGAATGCTTGACGCCAGTTTCTGCAACTCAATTTGTGCATTCTCAGTGCTCATGTAACTAGATTTTCTATTCTGGTGACCAATGAGAGCGCCAAAAACAGCATCCACTTTCTCAAATTCGTTGGTTCCTGTTGCTTCCCCCCCGCATGTCACGCGTTTGGAGTGCATCAACTTGGACAAGAAAGACCATTTGGAAGATTTTGGTTGCATCTTTGTGCCACTGATATAGGACAAGAGTTATTGAAACACTGTGAAGGTAACTCCTTCTACCTCTCTCAACATCCTAATTGTAACTTCAACTTCATTTTCTAAGTCACATTTACTCTTCAAATCTCTCAAAGACTTGTTTATTAACTTCTTTGCTTTCTTCCTTGAAGCTAAGTATGCCTTAGCTTCATCTGTGAACCCAGCTTCATCTCCTCTTCTTCTTCCCAAAATTGATTGGAGTTCTTGGGTATCTTCCTTGGCCCGCATTAAAGCATCCTTGGCCAAACCACATACATCCAAGAGCCTGAGAGACCCATTCAACAGCTCGTTAACCTGTTTATCATTGCATTGTTGGGCAAAGGAGTTTTGTGAGAGAGGCAATTGAAGCAAACTATCAAACAACTCATACAGATCTCTAAGGCCACTTAGTTTTTGTCCGATTGACGAAGATGATGAAGAGGCTGCTTCATTGGACTTTAGCCTATAGATATGCTCATCTATTTGAGGAATAAGTGGATGACGCCTAGAAGGCAAGCTGTTTGAACAAGCATGAAAATTGGATTTTTGATTCAAAGGTGAAGAAGCCATCTTTCTGTCTTAGATCAAAAGGCTAAAGGCTTCAATATACAATTTGATCAACTCAATGCACCTTCGCCCTCTAGCTCTGATCATATATATTAGCAAGAAGGAGACAAAAGGAATCTCGTCTGCAACCCCCATTAGTCGTAACGTGGTCCTGATCTGGATCATAACATTTCTGCTTCCAATGTTTGCTCAATGTCTCCTCCCAGCCCTACTTACCACACAATTATAATCTCGACAAACTAATCTTTTTAACAGAAATGATGCTTAATTATTGTGCACGAGTGGCACTGAGGCCTCTGTCTCCTTTCATGCGATAAACTATCATCTACTTGTCCAATCCTTTCTGAATACTTGTGCACATTTGTTAATTTTCCAAGAAAAGTGTGATTTGCAGAACATACATCTACTCAATATTTGGTTATGTAAAAATGATCCTAAATATCAGTCTAAGGTATGCCTTATTGGGGGACAAGATTTCAGTGCTGCTTGTGCTAAATTTTCAATAATTTGTTAAGGAAAAACAACTACAGCCACGTCTACAGGTTGCAGACAAGAGAAAAAAGAGGCCACATTGCATGTATGGTGGTAGGAGAGACAGGATTACAAAGCCGCTCATGCAAACTTGAAATCTGAAATTCAGTTGATTGAAGCTAATTTTTTGTGCAATCATAAACCATGAGGTAAAGATAAACGGTGCATTTGAAGTGCTCTTGATGGCCACATGCTTATGATTCCTGCATGCAGTAACCACTGTTGTTGATGCTAATTAAAGAGTTTTGTGATTGCTCAATCAAATGCAAATGGTACAGATAAGGCTGCAGTGCAAGAGGCAGGTAAGACCCTTGGTTTTGCAATCTTTACATTATATTATAAAACAATAGCATTTGTAGGACGCAGGATGTTAAAAATATTTTGATTTCTTAGAACAAGTGAGATATAAGTTTGCCATGTACAAATCTAGATCTATATTGTAAGCATTTAATTGTTTTCCTTAGACAACTGGAATTTGTTAGTTTTTTTTTTTATATACAGAAGGCATATTAGGCTCCTTCGCCAGTTAAATCATATTGACAACACTAATTTGTATTATCCTGTCAGCTAATTTTATGATCTCAACTCATTGAGTCACATGGTTCATTGCAGTGCATTTGAAATAGATGGTTAATCGGCGAGATTCATTGAAAAAGGAATACGAAAAGGAGGAATATGCAATAGAAGCAAAATTTTCTAAGTATATTTTACTTTGACATAAGACTATTACATTTGTGTTGTATTTAATGTACTAGATGAAGTCAAATGATATTTGAGGCTAGCTAATGGTTGAGTATGTTGAGAATATTGACTCTGACTTTGATCAGGTGCCTAAACAGACCCTGAAACCCTTCTTTGGAGTCTTGAATGCAAGACTCTGTTTTTTTTGTAGTTTATTTTGAACATTCTCAATTTGCGTGACGTCAGATATGCATGTTGCAAGGGATAGCTATGTAGCTTCAACATTTGCCATTTCATTGATCTGCGGTACTCTTTTACTTCCTACTCTTTTTGTCTGCAATAGCTTTGAGACTAGTGACCAACAGCTCATCTTTTATTTCTTTCTTAGGCCCAAAAGTAAAGGACAAAAAGATTCTAGGACACTGAGAGTTACCGCTTGCACTTCCCTTACGAGGCTAACCATGGCTCCGGTCTCATTGAAAACAGTGCTTTGCTTATTTTCCTGATGCTTCAATTCTTTAGGGTCTTCAAGATTTTCCTTTTAGCTGCCTTCCTACAGTTCAATTATTTTCTAACCTCGTTAACAAGCCCTGTTATAGCACCTCTCTTTTGATGCATGATAGATTGAAGTTCTAGTGTGCATTCCTTTACTTGCAATAGGGCATCCTTGCACACGAGTAAAGCTAAGATATCCATTTAACGGCTCATTGACATATTCCCTCCGCTGCTCTTGGGCTGAGTGACGGTCGAAGCAGCTTATCAATGCAATCATGGAAATCTTTAAGGCTACTGAGTTTATGGTTGCAGGCTGATGATGTAGATGCAGATTCTGATGAAGCCAATTTTTCAAAGTGCTCTTCAACCTCTGTGAATAGTGGGTGTGATCTAGATGGCAAGTCATTTAGAATGAGCATTGGTAACAGGTTGGATTTTGGAAGCAGTGGTGGCCATTATTTTTGCTGGAGATAGGAACTTAGCACTTGTGTTCTCAAGTCAATCGGGCAATTTGCCTTCTTTTCTTCATCTACCCAAATATATATGATGTGATGGGGGAAGACATGAATAATCTCATCCTTTCAAATGCATTTAAAGGTAATATTGGACTTGACCAGCTTTGCAATTCATTAACTGTAATACCCCAGCTCAAATAATAATTGGCTAGACTAATATTAAAATTCATCAGTTTATTAAGACATTATTTAATAAAAGAAAAAGGGCTGAAGTATTAGATAAAAAAAAACCTAATTATCGTGAAATAGAAAGAAAATAGAGTTCTTCTTCCTCATCTTCCTTAGAGTTAGAGAATATGAAAAATCAAGTTGGAGATTCACAATCAGAGGTTACAATCAAGTTAATCCCTTAAAAGTTTATTTAAAAAAAAATATCAAGTTGATTGCTATTATTTGGAGTTGAAGTTTTGAGAGCAAAAAAAAAAAAAATCATGAAATCTTTCATTAATCTTAATGATCTATTTGGATAAATTACTAGGCTTTGTTTATTTCATGTTCTTAAGATTTATTGATGATTATTGAATGGAGTTTGAAGGCTGAAAATAAGGATTTGAGTTTTTAAAGATTAAATGAAAAATTCTGTTTTGAATGAGATGTTGTGATCTGTAATAATGAATTAAAATAAAATTTTATATTAATGGATAGATTATTGCTGTGATTATTATATATCATTGGAAAGTATGTTGAATCTACTTTCTAATGAAATAAACAGAAGTTGAATTCGAGTTCTCTATGAAGAGTTGTTTAATTTCTACTTAAGGATGTGCAGGCTATCTAGTAGCAGCAATGAAGAATTTCAAAATTCTTCTTAATTTTTATACAAGAAATTATGTATTGAGCCATACATGTTAAGAAGGTCATTGAATCTACTTTTCAACGAAATAAGGGGAATTGAATTTGGAGTTTCTTGTGAATAAATGTGTAATTTTTATTAGAAGGTATACATGCTGTCTGGCAGTAGCATCCGACGTGGATTTCAAAAATTGTTATAATTAATCTACAAGAAATTATGAGATGTGCCATATATGGTTAGAAAGCTTATCAAGTCTAGTTTCTAACGCATTAAAGAGATCATAATTTTCAATTTGGTTATTTTGAGAT